TCACAGTCTCCCAAAACTGAACCGGGAAGAGATAGAAAACTTGAACAGACCAATAACAATTAAGAAAATTGAGGATGTAATCAAGAAACTCAGGCCCAAATGGCTTCATGGGGGAGTTTTACCGAACACTCAAAGAAGAACTAATACCCATTCTCCTCAAACTATTCCAAAAAATCCAAGAAGAAGGAAGACTTCCAAACTTATTTTATGAGACCAGCATAATTCTAATTCCAAAACTAGATAAAGACACTACAAAGAAAGAAAACTACAGGCCAATATACCTGATGAACATAGATGCCAAAATCCTGAACAAAATATTAGGATTCAGTGATACATTGAAAAAATTATCTACCATGACCAAGTGGGATTCATCCCAGGGATGCAAGGCTGGTACAATATTCGCAAATCAATAAATATGATACACCACATAAACAAAATGAAAGATAAAAACCATATGATCATATCAATAGACATTGGAAACGCATTTGACAATATCCAGCACCCATTTCTGATGAAAACGCTCAGCAATCTGGAAATAAAGGGATCATATCTCAACATAATAAAGGCCACATATATGAAAAACCTACAGCCAACATCACACTCAATGAGCAAACACTAAAAATTTCCTCCTTAAGAACAGGAACAAGACAGGGATGCCCACTTTCGCCACTCTTATTTAACATAGCACTGCAAGTCTTAGCCACAGTAATCACAAGGAGAAAAAATAAAAGGGATCCAAATTGGAAAGAAGGAAGGGAAACTGTCATAATTTGCAGATGACATGATACTGTACACAGAAAACCCTAAAGATTCCATAAAATATCTACTAGATTTGATAAACGAATTTGGCAAAGTAGCAGAATACAAAATTAACATAAAAAAATCAACAGCATTCTTATACACCAATAATGAACTCACAGAAAGAGAAACAAACAAACAAAATCCCATTTACCATCGCAGCAAAAAAGATCAAGATACCTCGGAATAAACTTAACCAAAGAGGTAAAGGACCTGTTCGCAGAAAACTTATAGGACATTGAAAAAAGAAACAGAGGAAGACATAAAAAAGTGGAAGCATGCACCTTGTTCATAGATTGAAAGAATTAGTATAATTAAAATGTCCATACTACCCAAAGCAATCTATAGAGTCATTGCAATCCCCATTAAAATACCAATGACATATTTCACAAAACTGGAACAAATACTCCAAAAGTTTATATGGAACCAAAAAAGACCCCGAATAGCCACAGAAATCTTGAAAAAGAAGAACAAAGTAGGAGGGATCACAATATCAGGTAAAAGGTTATACTACAAAGCCATAGTAATCAAAATCGCCTGGTGCCCTGGCCGGTTTGGCTCAGTGGTTAGAGCGTCGGCCTGTGGTCCTGAGAGACCTGGGTTCGGTTCCCGCTAAGGGCATGTACCTCGGTTGCAGTTTGTCCCCGGCCCTGGTCGGTTGTGCGGGTGGCAGCCACTCGATGTGTCCCTTTCACATGGATGTTTCTCTCTCTCTATTCCTCTCTCCCCCCACCACTCTACCTGAACAAAAATGGAAAAATGTCCTCGGGTGAGAATAAAAAAAAAAAAATTGCCTGGTACTGGCACAAGAACAGGCAGATAGATCAGTGGAACAGAACAGAGAACCCAGAAATGGACCCAATACATTATGCTCAATTAATATTTGACAAAGGTGGCAAGAGCATACAATAAAGACAGCCTCTTTAATGAAAGGTGTTGGGAAAATTGGACAGTTACATGCAAAAAAATGAAACTAGACCATCAACTTACACCATACACAAGAATAAACTCAAAATGGATAGAAGACTTAAATGTGGCTCGTGAATCCATAAAAATCCTAGAAAAAAATATAGGCAACAAAATTTCAGACATCTCATGTAGCAGGATTTTCACTGATACAACCCCTAAGGCAAGAGAAACAAAGGAAAAAATGAACACATGGGGGTACATCAAACTAAAAAGCTTCTGCACAGCAAAAGAAAAAAGCATCAAAATGGAAAGGGAACCCACTGTATACGAGAGCACAATTGCCAATGATACATCAGATAAGGGGCTAATTTCCAAAATATATAGAGTGCTCATACAATTCAACAAAAGGAAGACAAAGAACCCAATGAAAAAACAGGCAAGCCCTGGCCAGTTTGGCTCAGCGGTTAGAGCGTTGGTCTGTAGTCCAGAGAGACCCGGGTTCAGTTCCCGCTAAGGGTACGAACCTCGGTTGCAGTTTGTCCCCGGCCCTGGTTGGGTTGTGCGGGAGGCAGCCACTCGATGTGTCCCTTTCACGTCGATGTTTCTCTCTCTCTGTCTCTTCCTCTCTTTCCCTCCCACTCTATCTGAACAAAAAGTGGAAAAATGTCCTTGGGTGAGAATTAAAAAAAAAATAAAAAAAAAATAAATGGGCAGAGGACCTAAATAGACACCTCTCCAAACAGGACATACAAATGGCCAAGAGACATACGAAAAAATGCTCAACGTCACTAATCATCAGAGAGATGCAAATTAAAACAACAATGAGTTATCACCTCTCACCTGTCAGAATGGCCGCCATCAACAAATCATCAAACAAGTGTTGGCGAGGGTGTGGAGAAAAGGGGACTCGAGTGCACTGCTGGTGGGAATGCAGACTGGTGCAGCCACTGTGGAAAACAATATGGTGTTACCTCAAAAAATTAAAAATTGATCTGCCATTTTACCCAGTGATCCCACTTTTGGAATATATCCAAAGAAGCCTGAAACACCAATCAGAAAGAACATGTGCACCCCCATGTTCACAGCAGCACTATTTACAGTAGCTAAGATCTGGAAACAGCCCACATGCCCATCAGCAGATGAGTGGATACAAAAGCTGTGGTACATGTACACAATAGAACACTAAGCAGCTGTAAGAGAGATTTCATATCGTTGGCTATGACATGGAGGGACCTGGAGAGTATTATGCTGAGTGAAATAAGCCAGTCAGAGAAAGACCAATACCACATGATTTCTCTTATCTGTGGAATATCATGAACAAAATAAGGGGATGAACAAAATAGACCCAGAGACACAGAAAAGAGGGTTCATACTGACAAACCCAGAGGGATGGAGTGTGGGAGGGGTGGGAAGAGAAAAACCAAAGAACTCATATGCTCGTGTGCCTCACCATGAACACAGACAAGAATGCCGGGAGGGGCTGATGCGGGGAGCGGGAGCAGGGGTCAATGGGGGAAAAAGGAGAAAAACATCTGTAACAAAAACTAATTAATGAAATAAAATAAAAATACTTTCTTTTAAAAATGTGTATTTAAAATTAAAAATGACAAGTGCTATCAAGTCACTATTTCCTAAAACGAGGGGCAGATCCTGGAGGCGAGGCGCGGGGAGGAGTGAAGAGGGACAGGAAGGCCATAGGTTATGAGAACGGCTGCGCTCAATCTCCTCCCTCCTCTTAGACCATTGCTTTTCCTCATCGGTAGTTCTAAGGCCACAGTGGGTCAAGCTGCTGTGTCCTGTGGTGACTGTGAAAATAGTGTCTCCTCCAGGCAAGAACAATGCTGATTGGATGAGACCCCACCTGTGATCCACAAGCCATGTCACAGGGACCACGCACCAGCTGTGCTCGGACCTCCAGGCCGTCTCCAGGAAAACCCCTTGCCACAGAATGCCACAGTCACCTGACAGAACGGCAGCCTGGTGGTTTGGGTTTGGGCTCGTGGCAGACACGTCCTTGAAAACCCAGGGAGACGGCTGCTCAGGCACAGCCCTCAGTATGTGCTGTGCATCACGAAGTCTGAGTGTCCACTTGCCTCTGTGCTTCCAACATTTAGAATGTTCTGTTGAGACTGTTTGGTGACATAAGTAGCAACTTTTGGCTTTGCATAATGAACTGTATCACCGTGTGGAATCGTTATTTTCCCGATGAGACTGTGACAGACCGACACCTGGGGAGGTCCCTTCAGGAGACAAGACGGATGGATGCGGCCAAGCGCAGCAGAGCGTGGCTCACTGAGGTGGTTTTTCAGATTGCACAGTACAACTAAGCTTCCTTTTCAAAATAGCTTTATTTCGAAATAGTTTAAATCTCACAAGAAGTTGCAAAAAACAGTACAGAGTCCCCTGTCCCCTTCCCCAGCTTCCCCACAGGACTTGTGGAGGAGACTAGCGCTAACTCGGGCAGACGAGCGGGGGTGGGGGGGCCTGCCTCACGCGCTCACTGCTTTTTCCTCTGTCACCTTTAAGAAACTGCCATTGGTTGTTTCAGTGCAGTATTAAAAAAGAGCAGCCACAGTGACCAGAAAAGGAATGGAAATACTCCTCCCTTTGCCGGCAACAGGCATGTGTGACCACACATGAGAACAGGCAGTGCAGAACCCCACTATCCTCAACGAGCCAGACATTCAGGGATTTGCAGAAATATAAGATAATGCCACTCATCCTGCTTAATATTTGTTTGGAAAAGTTATTTTTCTTAAAAATATGTATTAACATACAAGTTTAAATCTTTATTTTTAAATAAATAAATACATTTTTTAAAAAATGTTTTAATTTTAAACGCCATCAGTGGAATGCTGGAGCCCACATCAAGAGAAGCTCCGTGGGCCCAGGGTTCCCAAGGCACGGCGGGGCCTGAGCTCCTCGCACAGGAGCCCCCCGGCTGCTGGGCTCCCTGAGGGTCACACACACAACACCTCGCAACTTTTTATGCACCTATTTAAGCACACAGATTTGGTCGTATCATAACTTACCCAGAGGAAATGAAAAGTTCACAAGTTTCTGGAGTGATTGTCAAGAGGAGAATATGATTCATATTCAAATGAAGTATTTTATTTTATTTTTTATCCTCACCCGAGGACATTTTTTTTTGATATTTTGTTCAGATAGAGTGGGAGGGAGAGAGAATTATCAATGTGAAAGGGACACATCGAGTGGTCGCCACCCACATGACCCAACTGGACAAACTGCAACCGAGGTACATGCCCTTAGCGGACACTGAACCTGGATCTCTCTAGACCGCAGGCTGATGCTCTAACCGCTGAGCCAAACCGGCCAGGGCTCAAACGAAGTATTTTAAAGTGACCTTTTATTAAGCCACTTACTACTGAATTTAAATTCAAGCACAGTAGTCCAAGATGTAAGCTATTCATCAACATTGTGGAATTCGCATCTTTTTAGAATAAACCTGCATTCAAACTTGTGTTTACTGATCGGATCCATGAAGCAGACGGCTGACTTCAGGAGGCTGCTGCTCTCCCAGAGCGCGACTGCACGCGGGCCTGGTCCACGGCGGCGAAGCCCACACAGAGGGCGGCTGTGACGAGCAGGTGCATTCCCTCATACAGCAGCTTCGGAGAAAACACGCTCCAGATGAACAAGTGGTAGCGCAGGGCCGTCACCAGGACGACGTACACAGACGCGGGGGCCGAGCAGACCAGTGCATAGCAGAAGCCCGCCCGCCGCAGTGCGGAGCCGCTGCCAACAGAGGGAGACGGTGTTAGTCCCTGCCACTCTGCATCACGGGAGGCGCACACGTCACTGACATTTTTATTTTGAAAACAACAGGTAATTCTTGCTCCTTGGTCTGGTCAGCCTGGTGGGCAGAGCCTGCATTTCCAGTGGGCACAGTGGTGCCCCTCCTGCCCCTCTCCAGTGCTGCCGCAGTCTGGAGTATTTCTGAATGCTGCACCCCATGTCTGCTCAGTTATCTATGTGGTAGTGACAAGCATGTACCACTCTACTACCACCTATAGTATAAAACACAAGAGAATCACACAAGACTATGAACAACTATATGCCGGCCAACTGAACAATCTGAGAAACACAAATTCCTAGATACATATAATCTTCCAAGACTGAGTCAAGAAGAAAGAAAATTTGAACAGACTGATTAGGAATGAAATCAGATCAATAATCAAAAGCTCCCACAAACAGAAGTCCTGGGTTGGAGGTAAACTCTACCAAACACTCAGAAGCGCTGATGCTGTTCTGGGCCCTTAAACCGCACCGAGAACTCCAGGAGGGAAGGCTCCCAGCTCACCCGTGTGACCAGCACGAACCGAACTCCAAAGCCACATTACAAAAACAGACAATTACAGAGGCAAAAATCCTCAACAAAATATTAGCAACCCAAATCCAGCAATACACTGAAAAGACAAAACCGCAATCACGGCTCATGCCTGTGCCCGTACGACAGAGGCCAGAGCACACAGTGGTGCGAAGACAGTCTCCTCAATGTTGGTGGAGACGAGACAGACACGTAAGACCACCTTACACCATTTATAAGCATCAACTCAAAATGGATCAGACCTCGGCATCAGCACAGTGGGCTCCTTCCTCCTCGCACACACACCTGGCTGCCCCCACGTGCTCCCCTGGACAGGCTGGTCCCTGCTGCCCGGATGCCCTGCGCTGGGATGCCGTCCTGACCCTGGTGCTCTGGCTCGGGGTGGAACAGGTTCACTCTGCGACCCCTCAGACCATGAGCTCCCGCAGCATGTCCTTGTGTGCAACATGGGTCCCCACCCACCCGTGAGCAGGACCCTGAGTGCGCGTCACCTCCGGGGACCACCGGCAAGGCAGGGAGACCTGGAGCAGCTCTGTGAACGGACGGGCGTGGCTCCCTCGCTGCTCCTCTCTGGGGAGCCTCTGTGCTCGGCCTGGAGCCGGTGCCCTTCTCAACCAAAGTGGACAGGGGTCTCCCATGGCCACAACCCAGAGTGACCACTGCTGTCACCTCTGCGAGGGCGATCTGCCTTTTTTTTTTTTTAATCCTCGCCCGAGGACATTTTTCCATTTTTTGTTCATATAGAGGAGGAGGAAGAGAGAGAGAAACATCGACGTGAAAGGGACACATCGAGTGGCTGCCTCCTGCAGGACCCAACCAGAGACGGGGACAAACTGCAACCGAGGTACATGCCCTTAGCGGGACCTGAACCCGGGTCTCTCTGGACCGCAGGCCGACGCTCTAACCACTGAGCCAAACCGGCCAGGGTGGGATCTGCTCTTGAGAGGGATGGACACCAGCCCTGCATCAGACTCCGCTGAGGGACAGAGGAGGAGCTGCACCTGCTGGGTTCTGAACTCAGGAAGTTCACCAAGTGGCTGGCCCACAGCACGGGTCCCGCGTACGTCGCAAAGGCAGTCAGGAACATGGCTGGGATCTCCACATAGGTGTTCAGGCCCACAAAGCCCGCCGAGATGTCCACTGTGGTGATGTTGTTGGAGTTTCCCTGGAATGCAGGAGACAGCGCTGACATGGCTGCTCACAGCACGGCCCCTGGTGACCATGACAAACCCGCCATGGCCACAGCAACAGGGACACAGGGAGCCCTGGCTCCGTGCACCCCTCTGTCCCGCTGACCCTGGACACACTGTTCCTCCACCAGCGGCTCCTCACAAGGCGAGGAGCAAGCGCAAGGTCTGACCTTTGAGAAACTACACAGACAGAAGTCTGCTGACGAATTATGGCAAATCCCAAATTTCCTCAGATGCATCTACTTAACAGACACACCCACCCCCACCCCCTCAACACCGTGGACCCTGTCTGAGGGCTGCCTGCGACCTGGGGGCACTCGCTGCAGCCTGAGGGCAGCGTTCCCCTCTGAGGGCTCGTCTGATGGGTGGACACTGCCGCTGGGCCACATGCAACTTTCCTCAAGAATTCAGGACATTTTCCTTTGTCCCAGCCCAGTGAGGGCACCTCCACTGAGCTGTTCACCCAATGGCCCAGGCCTGTGGCTCTGCAAACTGAGCCATCAACCCCAGGGCCCTCCCTGGCTGCCTGTCATTCCAGGCGGTCACGGGGTCACAGTGGTGGACCTCCAAACATCCTGCCCTTGCCAGCTGACCTCAGGCCCATTCCTTGACAATAACCCCTCACATGGCTTCCCCTTTAATCCACTTTACCCATGGCCACCTGGGCTCCCCCAATGACATAACGCCTCTTAGCAGACCTCTCCAGAGGTGCTGGGGAGAGAACAGCATCCCAAACGCTAGGTAGTTTGAGGAGAAATGTGACGAGCGTGGAGGAGCAGGTCTGACTTGAGAAGCGAGGTCCACAGATGTGAACTGTTTGTGCGGTGAAGGTAAGGCCCGAGGCAAGGCGTTGGGTTCTCACTGAATCCTCAGCAGTCCTGACACGGTGCCACGTGATCCTTCGTGTACAGGTGGGAAACTGAGGCAGAGACCCAGGGACCTGTGGAAGGCCAGCAGCACTCCCGACTGTGCTCCAGGACACGTGACAGGGGTGGCTCTGGGGACCCACTATGGCCCCTGCATAGCTGCTTGGGGCAGTGGTGCAAGAAGCATCTGTGTGGACTCTGCCTGCTGACGGATCCCAGCACCTAAGTGGTGGGTGGGGCAGGAACCGCAGACCACTGGACACGTGACTGTGGCTGCCCCAGGCAGCACCTGACATGCAACAGCACCAGCCCTGTGGAACGAGGCCCACGCTGCAGAGATAGGTGGGACCTGGAGCTGAAGCCTCACCTGGGCACGACCAAGGCTCCTCAGTGCCCCCAACCCCGAGGCTCAGGGCTGCCAGGCTGCTGGCCAGTGAGTGTCGCACTCAGGAGCCAGCGGGCCGGCACACCATCAGTCCACAAACATGCAGACACACCACAGTTGTGACTGGGCAGGTGCTGGCCAGCTGGCCGTGCAGCAGGAACCCCACGTCTGTCAGCGCTGACGTCTGGCACAGTGCCTGGGTGCCCGGGGAAGGGAAACGGACTTGGTGACAGCCCTCCTCACGCACATCCGAGTGAGGGCCGGTCTTCCACAGACCTCTGGGAGGGGCAGCCACCAAGAACAGGCCTGAGCAGGATTTCCAGACAGAGTGAACTGAGGCTGACACTGGCCAGTTGGCAACGTCTGCTGACACAGCGACTCCGGGCAGTGGCCCTGACGCAGGTGCACCAGTGAAAGGGAGAGGAGCAGACTAGGTGGGAAGGACTGGACCTGCCCAGCGCTCTGATGCCGTGCTCACGGCTGGGTCGTCTTCCCCGTTCCCAGTTGGCCTCTGAAACACAGATACTCAACATCCTAGAGACACAGCAGAGGTCAGGCTGTAGGGGGCCAAGTGATGGAACTTCTCGCCTGGCATCCTGGTCACAGTGGGTCCTCCGTCACACCTTCCTGTGCCTCTTCGCTGGGCTCCGGCTCCAGGCCGCGGAGGTGCACTCAGGGCTGTGCAGACAGTCAGGCCTCGAGGCCCACTCAGCCCAGCCACCTGCTGCTCCTCAGGCTGGTTTCATCTCAACCTTCTTTCCCACCCAAGGAAACTAAGGTACAGCAGGCACCTTGCTCAGAGCTGCCGCCACCACGGCTGATGGCAGCCTCGTCCAGGAACCTCCGCGCTGGAGAGAGGACTGCAGAGGCCTCGAGGGGCAGCACTGGCTGCAGTGTGGGAGGCAGAGGGAAAGCAGGTGTAAGGAATAAGGGGGCATGGATGGACTAAGGTCAGAGGCAGGGCCTGGTCAGGTCACTTGTCAGGGCTTTACCCTGCACCCTTCTGGGCTTCAGGGGAAGCCATGCAGGTGGGCTGCTGTGGTGAGGCTGGGAGCGCCGAGAAACCAGGAGAGGAGGAGAGGTGGGAGGAGGCCCAGGCTGACTTCTGAACACACAGAGGAAGACAAATCTCCAGGTCTGAACAGAAGAGGCGGCGGGAGGAGCCACAGCCCATGGAGAACGACGGGAACACGCAATGACGGGAGACACGCAGTAGCTTGTGCAGTTGCTGGCCAGGGTGTGAAGCAGGGAGGAAACCCCGTGGGAACCTCTGGAAGTGACGGGGTTAAGGGTGGCAATACAAGCGGGCTGGGATGTAACGGTCCCTCTGAGGATGGGAGCGGTACCTCTGTCCACCTGTCTAGGTGCCCTTCCAAGTACAAAGCTGCACACTGAGGTCTATCCTGAGGCGGCTTGGACTTGCCTCAGGAGCCCTTCGCCCTGGAGGGGTGTGCGATGCTGGGTTCAGAGACTGGTGCTGGGCAGGCACACCGAGGCGGGACGGCAGGAGTGCTGTCCTCCCAGCAGACAAGGTGGCAGGTGTGCGGTGCTTCCTGTGCTGTGCACGAGCCCGCACGGGAGCCACGAGCCCCCACGGGAGCCACGAGCCCCCGGGCACGTCTGTCTCACACGACAAACTGTATGGTGTCTCATAAAACACGAGAGACTGACGCATCCATTCTGCACTGACAGCTCCTTCCCCGAACAAACACTGACTTTCCAACTTACGGTAAGTTTTCTTATTGAAAAACTAAAAGATAAATGATAAAAAGTTAGTGGTCTACCTGAACACCTACCTGAAAATAGAAGAATGCCTGACCGAACCAATAGTGCATGACGGCGACCTCAGCGGCGCCGTGCTTCAGGGGTCTCCAGATGTACTTGGTCATCACTGTCTGGATCAAGAGGCTACACACCAGGACGGGAAGGTTGTGTGGCCTGAAGAGCAGGGCGGCCAGGAGCACTAATCCACTGTACACATCCCACAGTCCCACAGTCTTGACTGTGGCGCCTGCAGCGAGGACTTGAGATTTAAGCAAGTCTTTGGTGCCCGTGAACAGAATGCCAAGGACAAACACATAGACAAAACGAGCTTCAATAATGCCCCTAAAATAAAAGTAAAACAAGTTAGATTTTTAGCACCATCTAGAAAAACTTAAATGCACATTTTCCCATGAAAACCGCATTTCCACTCAGCTGGCTAACAAGCCACAGCCCCACCCACCGGGTGCCCAGTGGAAGTGGGCATCTGCCTCTGCACACTGGCCCCAGGGCCCCTCCAAAGGAGCTGGTGCATGGAAACCTCCTTCCTCTCGCCCAGAATCACCTGGGTGCAAGACACTGTTCATGTCCTACGGTCCAGCTCTGCCAGGAGCTTCCACAAGCTCAGATGCCGAGATACACCTGCACGTCCACAACCAGATTTGAGTAGGTACTTGCGTGTGTCTGTGCACGCACATGGTGTGGTACAAACTGTGGGTCCGGAGAAAGGCAGGGCTGGGTGAATCTGGGTTCTGCCACTTCCTAGCTCTGTTATTATGGGCAAGTTAATTAAGACTTTATTATTCATAAATGAAGAGAAATGGCACCTGCATCTCACAAAGCTGTCTTGGGAATTAAACGAGAGTGCACGTCCTGTGTCTGCACACAGCGAGGGCTGTGGCGTCCCGTGTCTGCACACAGTGAATATTGTAAATCAAGTATTTCAGCACTTCATTCAGTTCTCTGTAAAGAACACAATTTATGACACTAGGCCAACCAACCTCATCTTACGAAATACACATTCCTCAAACACACTTAAGTAAATTTCATAAAGCAAATATTTTATAATAAAAAGGACAATCATTTAAAGTAATGCTAAGTAAAAAATTTTTTAATGTAATAATCACCATAATAATGTACGTTTTGAAAAAATAAACTTGCGTATCTCAGATCTTAGAAAGGTTTATGCATTTTTAAAAAATTGTCTTGAGGCCCTGGCCGGTTTTGCTCAGCGGTTAGAGCATCAGCCTGCGGTCTAGAGACCCGAGTTTGGTTCCCGCTAAGGGCACACGTACCTCGGTTGCAGTTTGTCCCCAGCCCGGGTTGACTTGTGTGGGTGGCAGCTACTCGATGTGTCCCTTTCGATGTTTCTCTCTCTCTCTCTTCCTCTCTCCCTCCTACTCTACCTGAACAAAAAATGGAAAAATGTCCTCAGGTGAGGATAAAAAACAAAACAAAAAAACCCACCTGTCCTTAGTGAGTTTAATTCAAACAATGTCCACTGTGTGCCCGACCAGGCCTGTCTCAGAGCCACACGTTGCCACAGAGCTGCGGTCAGGTGTATCCACAGCCCAAATGTGCGCCGAGCTAGACAGACTCAGAGGGTTAAAGAAGAGAGGCCCGACGAGCCAGAGAAGCTCACAGAAGAGAGGGCTGGGCGCTGTGTCTCAAGATGCCAGGGCAGGCTGAATGGCGGCCAGGAGGAAGGGCCCCACCCAGGCCTGGCCTCCCACGCCCGCTAAACCTGGGCTTCAGCTGAGAAGAGCCAGGAGTTAAATGTACCGATGGGCAGCACCCGGGGTCTGAAAGGAGTGAGAGCTGTCAGGTGATCCAAAATCAGGACAGCTCTGGAATGGGGCAGGTAAGGACGCAGACGGACGTGGCACCGGATGGAAGGGCAGGGTGAGGAGCAGGGCATCTGCAGGAGGAATGCGAACCAGGCAGTGCAGACTGACCGAAGGGCACACTGGCTACAGTGCACGTGCCTGTGAAAGGGAGGCTGCGGACCCCAGTCTGGAGTGAGTGATGCTGGAATCAGGCACATCCATCTGAGAGGAAGGAGGGACCTATTCATGTGTCACACTGAGAGACTCAGACAGACACCACCACCCTGAAATGTGACTTCCAGCCCTGACACGTGCCCAGTCTCAGACTCAAAAGTGCACACCTTTTGAGATGTCTGCACACCATCCTGTCCCCACCTGGCCTCCCCTTCTCAGGTGAAGGCCCACAGCCCTCCTGTCCCCAGGCCCTTGGCATCAACTCGACTCCCTGCACCTGTTGGCAGGTTGTTTCCAGAGGTGCACTTGTGCCCCGTGGCCTCCCACATGGCCTGGCACAGCCCTCTGCTTTCACCCTGACCTTTGAGAGAAGATGACAAGTGGTTTTCTTCCTCTAATTAGAAAAGTAACACAGGCCCTGGCTGGTTTGCTCAGCGGTTAGAGCGTTGGCCTGCAGGCCAAAGAGTTGAGAGTTTGATTCCAGTCAAAGGTACATACCTTGGTTGCAGTTCGTCCCCGGCCCTGGCTGGGTCATGTGGGAAGCAACCAGTCAATGTGTCTCTCTCTTTCTCTCCTTCTCTCTCTCTCCTTCCCTCCCTCCCTCTCACTCCATCTGAGATAAAAAGAAAAGTGACTCAGAACCAAGCGAAGCAGACGACCAGCCCACCCGTGACCTGTGTCCCGAGTACTGTGACATCTCCCAGTGACAGGCGGAGCCTTGGGTGATGGGGAGATGCACCTGTGCATGAGCTCGGCCTTCGCACACCCTATGAAAACACACCGCTCACCGCACTCCGAGGGGCAGCAGGAGCTGAGAAAAGAGCTCTGCTGGCACGGAGGTCGCCCACCACCGCTGCCCTTCTCAGTCTGTGCCGCCGAGGGCTGCGGGCAGAGCGCGTGTGCCCCGGCCAGGCTTCCTCTCGGCGTGTTTTCCGGAGAAAAGGTCTGTGAGCGCACACCTGGGTCAGAGGTTCTGCACGTTTCACAACCAGTCCTTGGCCACTGCCCCACCCACGTCGCGTTACACACAGACCTGCAGACAGTATGCCTGACCCAGCCGGCATGCCGCCGCCCCTCAGAGGGGTTCACTGCGAACCACGAGCTGCTTTCCGCTGCTCCCCACTGCAGGAACACCCAGTCATTTCCCTGCTTTCTCACGAGCAAAACAGACCTTTCAGATTCCTTATTTCAAAAAATCCCTTATTTAAAGAAATTGCCCTCAAACACCTCACTCCCGAGAGACTGTGCCTCTTCCCCCAGAACAAAGAGGGAGCAAGCAGTTCGCTGAGGTGTCCTGGGCCCCAGGAACTGTTGGCAGAATCACTTCAAACAAGACTCCAACGTCCCAGACAGCACGTTGCCTCACAGCTGCACCCAGAACCTCAAGCTCCCCGGGTCTGCCGCACACTACCTTGAAACAGCTGTGCTGCCTCGCTGCCATGGCAACAGCACGTGGCCGATGGATGCCCGGTAGCAGTAGATGCCCAGCAGGCCAAGCGCCATGGCCACTCTGGACATCGGGGAGCACCTGCTCTGAACCAGCGCAAAGACCGCGACGAGGGAGAGGGCGGCCAGGACAGAGAGCTCGGCTTTGTGATCGGAGCTGAAATGGAATGGAAAATGCCCAAAATTACTGACAGTAGAACGAGCAATGTCATGGATCTAGACTGAGTGGCTAAGGGCTGTACTAAAAAAAGTGATCTTCCTGAAAAGCATGAAATAAAAATCACTGGCGATTTAGATTCAGACCGAGGCTGTCGCGGTGCAGCAGACGCAGGCTGGGACGTGGACTCCCCTTCTCAGGGGGGGGTGCCCACCGCCGGCTCTGCCCGGCCAGGGCAGTCACGCTTCCCCCACCACAGGTGGGGAGACGCTGGGCAAGCCATGTGTTTCCCAAGACACCCCCCTTCATGGGGACACACACCTCCTGGTGTGACCGCCTCCCCGATGTGAGCCCCCAGGGCAGGGCTGCCCACGCCCATCACTCATGAATCCCAGACACACAGCAGCTGTAAGTGGATGAGTGACTGCTCCACTGAGGTACACACACACACAGATACACACAAAACACGCCTCTGAAACACAGGGGCAGATGTGGTCAGGGTCAGGGTCAGGACGTGGGTCCCGGAGACAGCAGGTGTGATGGGACCACTCTGGCCTCGTCCTTGCTCTGGGGGTTGTCACATGGGTGCCTACTCATTGTTCCGTGTAAACTGGACATTTCATGCGCTGTCCTGGGGTAACTGTCACAACAGAGAGGAACAGAAGGCAAGTCTAGGCCCCTCTCAAGTAGCTCTGCTGTGCAGGAGTGGGGTCCCCTCGCAGCCACCACGTAGGGACAACCTGTGACGCAGGAGGGAGCCCTGACCAGGGGGCCAGCTCCAGTGTGTGGAGAAGGATCCAGATGGAGCAGTGGGTGCACCTGGGTCGGAGGGGGAGCAGGGCTGTGGCTGCCCGCACACCTGCGGGCTGGACCAGCTGACTGCCTGCCCTGCTGCCGTTTGCATTCAGGAGGGTCCCTGTCGTCCTTGTGCCTCGTGTGCTCAGGCTCAGATCCCTCTGCTCCCTCAGCCGCCTGGGGACAGCGGCGTCCTCTCCAGGGCCACTGTGAGGGAGAGAGGAGTGGGCTTGCGGCAGCCCTCGCCCCACAGCGCTGCAGGGACGAGCAACGTGGTCAGTGCCTGGGGAGCTTCCCACAGAATGATCTGGCCAGAGGAATAAATGAGTGTACAGGCTGTGAGACGCATGTCAAGCTGCTTCTCTAAAGCACTGTGTCAACATGTGGTTCCAGGGTCCTTGGGTCCTACCCAGGCTGGGTGTCTCCCCTTTGTCTCGCTACCGAGGACAGAGTCACACCTTGTTTCACCTGAAGTTCCCTAGTTGCTTGAAGTGAGCATTTCCCTTTCATCCTCCGGAGTTTCCTCCTCTGAGCTCACTTCCTCACAGCGGCCTCTGTGCTACACGGGAAACCGTTTTCTTCTTGCTGTGGCTTCGTCTTCACCGACAGACGACGAAAACGCACACGCTGCCGTCTGGATCTTCCGTCTGCTCCTGCTTGCTGCGCCTTCCCCCAGGTGCTGAAGAAGCACCTGCAGGGCCGGTGGCCATGGAGGGTGAGGGCGGTGCTCCGCCACTTCTGACCACGCACCTCGCAGGCCGGTCCCTGTCGTCCTGTCAGGGAGGAAGTGGCGAGGGGCAGAACTACATCCTCGCTGTGATCCCCACTGAGAGCTCAGGTTTTCAACATCAGTCACAGTGACACGGCAGTAAGAAACCAAACGTATTAGCCTCATGTAAACTCACCTTCAACATCGATTCATGGGCTAGGGTGTACGTTTCCATTTCTTTCAATCTCAGACACCACTTCTATCCTGAACTTGAAAAACAGGCCTACGTTCTAACAGAGAGACTGTGGTCAGCCGGCTGTGGAAGCCTCGGCGCACGCTCTCACCTGGTGAGCCAGTGCCCCAGGTCAGGACGGTGGGCCCACTGCACCCCCGTGTGGTTCAGGGGTCGCAGCAACCGGCAGCAGCCGAGCACCAGCCACGGGCTCGCCAGCACCATGGCCTTCTCGCAGCCTCGGAGCGTGTCCAGGGAAGAGGGCTTCGTACACACTCGGTCCAGCTCTAACACGTCACAGCCGGTGCTCTTGTCCTTCACAGTGGGTGCTGCCCGGACAAACCTTCCTTCCACGCGTAAGCAACACGGAGACTCCCCGTTATCCCCCAGAAAGCAGTTCCTGTAGCTTTCATGACACAGAGCTAGGCACAGGGTGCTGACAAGGAAGTACCAGGTCTGGTGCTCCTCTTCAATGAAGCTGCTGGCACCCAGACTCAGGACGTGGCCGACAGTCCCCACCAGGATGAGAAGGTCTAACTCCGACCACTTTGAGTTGGTACGAGCTGGATTCTGTAAAAAGAAAGATGGATTTTGTAAGGAAAACTCTGAAAACTACACATATCTTGCTGTGTGTGTTTAAGCTGCTGGTCACAGAACACAACCCACTGTGACCCTCATCTGATGTTTCTCAGGCCCAGCACCCACTCCCCTGCTTCGTGGGACGGCCCATCCTCTTCGGCACATCCAGGGGCACCTGGGCCGTCTTGACCCGGGACTGCCTGCTCCAAGCTGAGCGAGGAGATGTGGATGTTTAGCCCTGAGCCACCTCGGCAGTGCAGGGACTCGGAGCTGTGCTGATCCCGGGACCAGCCCTGCGCAAACCATTTCTTGGCCTCTGGAGCCTGGGCTGTCAGGTGGCCACAGCCGGTTCCTGCCACTGATACCCAAGGGTATTTCCCACTGAATCAGACCTGATTTCTCCATGAATTCTCCAGAAATCCAAAAAATTTCCAGTTAAATGATCAATTCTATTGAAATAAAGTTGGCATCATAGTACTAACCCTTCAACATACCAATTTAAAGCATTTAACAGCTGTTGAAAAACAAAAGGATCTCTTGTCCTTTGAGACAGCGTGGAGGGACCTGGAGAGTGTTAAGCTCAGCAAAATGAGCCAGTCAGCGAAAGACAAGGACCACGTGGCCACACTTACACGTGGATCTAATGAAAACAAACTGATGAATAAAACAGAAACAGAGGCATGGATGCACGGAACAGACTGACAACCTGAGGGAAGGGCGGGTGGGTGGGAAGAGATAAACTGAAGAACTTGCACACACACATCAACCACGGACACAGACTGCAGGGTGGTAAAGGCCTGGGGCGAGACAGGAACCAGGACGAAGGGGACAATGGGGGAGGGGGGAGGAGGAGACATTCTCAACAGTAAATATTTTTTAAGATAAAAGCAAAATTAAAGATGAACACTTGATGACTGTCATTGGGTAACTACTCAATGATTTTTTTTTTGGAGAAACATCATTAACTTTATTTTCTTCTTTTCTTTTTTAAATTAATTAATTTATTTTTGTTACAGATGTTTCTCCTCCCTCCCATCTGTCCCCAGCTTTGTTGTCCATGTCTATTGTTCATGCACACATGCATGTAAGTTCTGTGGTTTATCTCTCCCCCTCCCCCCTCTTCTGGGGATTGTCAGTCTGTACCCCACTTCCACGTCTCTGGGACTATCCCATTCCTCAGACTGTTATGTTCATTATATTCCACAAAAAAGCGAGATCATGTGATATTTGTCTTTCTCTTCTTGGCTTCTTTCGCTTAGGATAATACTCTCCAGGTCCCTCCATGTCGTCTCAAAGGATAAGAGATCTTTCTTCCTTACAGCTGCATAGTCCTCCATTGTGTATATGTACCACAGCTTTTTTATCCATTTGTCTACTGATGGACATTTGGGCTGTTTCCAGATCTTAGCTATTGTAAATAGTGCTGCTATGAACATGGGGGTACATATATTCTTTCTGATTGGTGTTTCAGGATTCTTAGGGTGTATTCCTAGAAGTGGGATCACTGGGTCAAATGGAAGTTCAATTTTTAATTTTTTGAGGTAACACCATAGTGTTTTCCACAGCGGCTGCACCAGTCTGCATTCCCACCAGCAGTGTACTAGTGTCCCCTTTCTTCCACACCCTCTCAGCACTTGTTTGGTGATTTGTTGATGGCGGCCATTCTGACAGGTGTGAGGTGATACCTTGTAGTTGTTTTAACTACTCAATGTTTATTCTTCATGTGTCCAACTGGGATACAGCAGAAGGCACCGTGAACCTTGTTAGGCCTTCGAGAGTCAAGTGGCCCAGGGAAAGCCTGCTCTGACAGCACCAGAAGGGTCACGTCCCAGGGACACGGCCCTGCGCTGGGTCCCCCAGGCTCTGGGCACCGGGACATCCATCTGCTCACCTCTTCCTCATTGCCACCACAACCAGCTAAGGAATGAAGGTGTCAGAGGCCAAAGGCTCTAAGTATTCTGAAGGAAAATGTTGGTCTGAAAAAGAAAAATGCATCGTACGAGGCAGAATGAAGTCCGGAGGACGGCAGGATTCAGATGGGGTCTGAGCCTCTCTCCACCTTCCTTGGCTGCAGCCCAAAGACCCTCTGAGACACGGTCTGCCTCATGCGCTTCCCATCAGCCAGCTGCCCATCCTGTGACCAGCAGCTCTGCACAGCCCCGTGTGACAGTCACAGGAGCCGTCTCCCCTCCTGACAGTGAGGCCTGTGATCTGAAGACACAGAGCTGAGTCTGAAGTGGGCGCTCAGAGCCTGGGGACAGGCTCCCTCACCAGCTCCTTTCCTGCCCTGGCCAGTGCTGTGCCTGCCACACACCAGCGCTTCACCCAACATCCAGTGAGTGAAAGGTCAAGTAAATAACAAAAGATGGGGTCGCATCTGCGGGAGCCACCTTACCCTCCTCAGAAGCTTTCCGTCCACACACGTCCTGGTCAGAGCAGACAGGACCGCGCAGAGCAGGGCGGAGACCAGCACCAGCACCACCCCCACGGTGGGCCACGAGAGGCTGCAGAAGTAGCAGGAGCCCTCAGTCGAGGTGCACACGCTGACGTGCACGGCCCCGAGAAGCAGGAGCACCAGGTAGAAGAGCAGAGAGAACACGGGCGACGACAGGGGGACCTCCAGCTCGGCTGCGCTGCCCAGAGCCTGCGGGGCGCTGAGCAGGAGCAGGGCGAAAACCTGGAAAGGGAACACGAGGGCCGTGTCTGTGACCGCTGGGCTCTCAGAGAGCTGCTCAGAACGACGCCCCCAGCAGTGCGGAGCACAGCCATTTGACCTGACAGGACTCTGTGTGCAAGGACACACATGAACGAACAGGAAACTCCTATTTTCCCATTTTTGGAAACACTGATGTTCCGTAGGATTTAAACGGCAGTACTCTGGCTGGGTCAAGTCAGCCCTGCATGTGAGCCACGACTCCGTGCGAGTCCCGTACCTCCAGAACCACAACGGTGCCCACCACCATCGAGTAGATGTCGTAGTGAGCCACTTGTCTGCTCAGGGCCAGGCTCAGCGTCTTCAGGGCGTCCAGGTACTGCCTGCGGACCTTGGTTCCCAGGTTGAGAAGGACTTCCGAGTTCTTTTCCTCTAAGTACAGTCTGACCCAGTTCCCGTGCAGCTTCTGTGACACTTGAAACTGTTCAAATCCAGGCTCTGACAAGAAGAGGAACAGTTACACAGACGCTGCACACACACACACATATAACTTCAAAGTTATATGGTTTGGCTCAGCAGTTAGAGCATCAGCCTGCAGTCCAGAGAGACCCAGGTTCGGTTCCCGCTAAGGGCACGTACCTCCATTGCAGTTTGTCTCCAGCCCTGGTTGGTCGTGCGGGTGGCAGCCACTCGATGTGTCCCTTTCACATCTCTCTCTCTCTCTCTCTCTGTCTTTCTCCCTCCTACTGTATCTGAACAAAAAAATGAAAAAATGTCCTCAGGTGAGGATTAAAAGAAAAAAAAAAACAAAAAACGCAAAAAACAAAGTATCATTTATCCTCGGCTTGTGGTACAACCTGAAACCTAACGCAGATGAGCTACTGGAGTGTGTGCTGGGTCATGGGGCCAGCATCCCCCGACATCCTTCCCACTCGACAGCCTACCCGGCCACCACCGCCTTCTCCTCCCCTGTCCTTCTGGCTCCACTTTGTCTTTTCTTTATTGATTTTAGAGAGAGAGGAAGGGAGAGGGAGAGATAGAAATATCAATGACAACACTGATTGGCTGCCTCTGGCACCCCTCCCACTGGGAATGTGGCCCACAACCTGGGCATGAGCCCTGACTGGGAATTGAACCAACAACCTCCTGGTGCAGGGTTGACGCTCAACCACTAAGCCACATGGGCCGGGCTCTGTCTGCGCTCGTCTGCTTTTGCAACAGGCAACAGAAAACCACCCAGAAGTGCATCACGCCAACAGATCCTCGACTTTACAAAAATCTTCCCATGCTCAGTGTGTGGCCTGGGCAGGCAGAGGCCTGACGCCGTCTCCACCACATCCCTGTCCCCACGTGGCTGCCCTCCTGCCTCTCAGCAACATCCGCATCTTGACCGGCTTCCATCACTGCAAGTCTTCTTTGGGCAGGGACAACCATCTTCTGGCCCCTCCTGTGCCTCCAATGTGCAGTGCTGCTAGTAGACCCACATGGACGCCAGTCCCAGCGGCTTCTGGCTCCCCCGTTGGGATGGTGGCAGCCTGCTTGCCCCAGGTCAGAGGGCTGCCTTTCTTCCTCTCAGAGCTGGCCCAGACACAAAACTTCCCTTCTGAGACTCCCTGGTGTTCAGCGTGCTCTTCTGACGTCCAGCAGAGACATTCTGAGGTGTCTAAGCTCTGTCTTTCTGAGGCCCCGGCCAATCCCCCGGCGCTGTGCCTGCCCCAGCGTTCCCTGATCGCAGCAGGACAACCCTGCCCGTCTGGCACTCTCACTGTGCAGCCCAAGGTGGCAGCCCTGCACCACTGCTGCGCCCGCCCACCGGCATCACGTGCAGCTGCCAGCACCACTCACCGGACGGGCTGCAGGGGCTGCTCCGTCCCTCCTTCCTGAAATTCTTTCTCTAGCTACTTGCTTCCTCAACACCAATCCCTTCACCCATGAGCACTTACCTAGTGAACCTGCTCCCCGTAACCATTCCCGCCTCAGCAGGTCGCCCATTCTTTCCCTGTTCGGCTAAAAGCCTGAGTCGTTCCTTCCTCGGCTCACTTGTGCAGACATCCTGCCTGCACTGCTGCCAACATCCAGTGCCACCCACCGTCCCTCTCAACACCGCTGCCTGGGCTGCACACCCCACAGCACAAGGCACAGCCCCGTGTGGGCTCGAGGGCCTCTGAGAATGCAAGTCAGAAACCTCAGGGCTCCGCAGCTCAGAGGCAAAGTGGGAGCCCTTGTCCGCCCAGGCTGCAGAAGCGCTCACACCCTCTCAGCCCACGTCCTGTGCCTTCCTCAGACGCCATTCTGCTCCAGCCACTCCGGCCCCTGGTCATTCCTTCTAAGCGAAGACACGTCCCCACCACAGGACCCTGTACCTGCCACATGCTCCCTCCCGGGCCCAGAGGCCAGGCTGCCACGGCCCTTACCTACTCGCACTTTCCACTCCTCCCACCCACCTGTCCCCAAGGCACCGCCACCCCCTGACCCTGACTGCTGCTGCTTTCTCTCCCTTCTCAGAGCTGAGCCCCATGAGGGTGACCCCCGAACTGCTGTGGCCACAGCTTTCAACAGTCCCTGGCCAGACAGAAGCTCAGTGAAAAAGATTCAATGTTGTTGAACGAACAAATTTATGGAAGAACTTGATTTAGATAATTGCCTCTGGGTGTTGCTAATGGTGATGGTCAAGGCTCTAAGAAAACAGGAGCACAATCTGCAGTCAGAGCGGATTAGTTCGACGGGGAATCAGGATGGCGCCAGGCACCTGGAAGCACAGGGTCTGAAGACGTCAGCCACAGACTCACCTCTTTCATACGACGGCACGTTTTCTTGCAGCAACCTGCTGAGCTGCACTGTGTTCAGATGTAAGAACCTCAGCTGTTCTCGCATCGCTCTGCCTTCGATGACTGGGGACAGCAGGCGGCCCACACTGTGCTTTGGAATGGGCAGGCCCAGCCCGATCGCTAGTGTTGCAGCCAGGTCAGTCTGCTGAACAAGCTTTGGGGGCCTGACATCACCTAGGGAAAAATACAGTTTAAGTGACAGGCTCAAGGACACTTTGACCTCCTACAACTAACATCAGTCAATTACTCATCTTCAGATCTTCCCTGTAAATCCACACAGAAGCACCTCATTGTTTCATATCAGTGGGATGATTGTGCACCCCTTTGTGTGGGGCACATGCCTTCCCCAAAGCAGTGCCTGATGCCTGGGAGACACCAGCAGACACACTCAGTCCCGAGCGAGTCCGCAGCGTGGGACAGGCCCAGGGAGCAGACGGCTCAGCAGATGGCCACCCGAGGGACGTGACTTCGGTGAGGTCAACAGACACACCCCTGGAAAAGGTGGGGGCAGGTCTCTGGCGGCCCTGCCCTCTGGATTCAGTGTTGCCTGCAGCCCCAAGGAGAAGCTGGTGCAGACTTCACAATGGCTCTGGAGCAGCAGCGGCGTCTCTCTGGGGAGAGCAGACTGAGGCCGAGCCCCAGACCAGCTCTGACGGACAAGCCTCTGCCTGCTGCTGGCCTGAGACCTGCAGCTCTTCAAGCCCCAGCACTGGCTGGCTGTCCAGCTAACCCTGCAAGGAGGCCGGGTGTGGTAGCAGGACCCTGGGCTCAGGCCCCAGCTCTGCCACTATCCAGTGTGAGGCCGTGTACAGGAAACTCAGAGTCAGTTCTCTTATCTTTGAAAAGAGCACCCCGCCCTGGCCGAGTGGCTCAATGGTCAGAGTGTTGGTCTGCGGATCAAAGGGCTGCAGGTTCGATCCCCGACCCCAGCTAGGGCATGCACAGGAGTTAACCATTCGATGTGTCTCTCTCATATCGATGTTTCTACCCGCACAAAAAAAAAAAAAAATCAAAAGAGATATCTTCAGGTGAGGAACAACCACACAGAAGAGCGCCCCGCCCCACACCCGGAAGCTGCAGTGCTGGCCGGCAGCAGTGCCAGGTGCGCGTCTCGCACTCCAGGGTGAGTGTGCAGAGGTCAAGCTTGGACTGTGGTAACTTTTTTCTTTGTGATTGGGTCAAATTTATTCATCTTTCCTTGACCAACCCTCTACTGATGGCTCCTGGATTACACTGGAAAAAAAGTTTTCCCACTCCAATGTTATTGTCTTATTATTATACTTTCTTCTGCTCTCTCGCGTCAAGTGCTCGATCTGAAACAAAACAAGAATCTCTTGGCACGGACACTGATGGTGGCGCATACTGCTTCCAGAGACCACACAGCCGCGAGTCCATGGACACTCAGACTGACTGACCCCAGGCTTGCTGTTCCAGCTGCAGGTAGAACAGGCTGTGCAATCACATTGTCTGTCTGCAACATGTAGAGATGTACCTGACAACACCAGCACAGAGGAGGGAGGTGGGGCAAAGCTGTACCGGATAAAAAATGACGCCATATGAAAATACGTCTCCCCAAACTCATTCCCAGATGTTCACAGCAGCATCATTCGTGACGGCCAAGAAGTGGGAACAAGTGCCACCACCTGACCGACAGACAGACAGACATGGTGCGACACGGCAGACGTTACCGAACAACAGGACGGAGTGAAAGTCAGGCACATGCAACAACGAGCACGCACCTTGAAACAGCGTCCAGCCGCACAAGACCAGGTGCTACAGGGTCCCTGTGCAGAAGCACCAGAAAAGGCAACTCTCACCACGACAGGAAGACAGCTGTGGGGGGGTGTACTGGGTTGGCGGGAAGTGGCGGGGGACCCCTGAAGATGCGACGAAATGTCTTAAAACTGACCCTGACAAGGGCTGCTGGCTCTGAATGAACCAAAAGGAGCGCAGTCCTGGCTCATACACCGAGCATAATGAGATAACAAAACACGACCATTCTTAATGCAAACAGACAAATTAAATGAAGAAAAAAAAAACCAACAAGAAAACCCAGAGCTCACTGTTGGCACTGAGGTCGGCCACTCGGCAGCCCTCGCAGGCAATCCGCACGCACAGCCGCCCAGGGAGGAGACTTAAATACCTACTGTAGCTAAACAAAGGCCCTAACCTTCTGACAATAAAAACCCACCAACCTAGCCCTGGCCAGTTTGGTTCAGCGGTTGGAGCTTCGGCCTGCGGTCCTGAGAGACCCGGGTTCGGTTCCCACTAAGGGCGCGTACCACGGTTGCAGTTTGTCCCCGGCCCTGGTTGGTTGTGCAGGTGGCAGCCACTCGATGTGTTCCTTTCACATCGATGTTTCTCTCTCTCTGTTCCTCTCTCTCCCTCCCACTCCACCTGAACAAAAAATGGAAAAATGTCCTCGGGTGAGGATAAAAATAAATAAATAAATAAAAAAACCCCCACCCACCTAGTTGCCTTTCTTTTTTTTTAAATCCTCACCCGGGGAAATTTTTCCATTTATTTTCAGACAGAGTAGGAGCAAGGAAGAAAGGGAGGGAAAGAGAAAGAAAGGGAGGAAGAGAAACACCAATGTGAGAGAGACACATCTATTGGTTGCCTCCCGCATGACCCCAACCAGGGCCAGCGACCAAAATGAAACCAAGGTACGTGCCCTGCACTGGAATCAAACTCGAGACTCTTTGGTCTGAGGGTTGACGCTCTAACCACTGAGCCAAACTGGCCAGGGCCTAGTTGCCTCCCCCTGCCCTGAGGACTAACTCCCTGAGGCTGAAGGTGCCCACACGCCCTTGTCCACCGCAGCTCAGTGACCTGTGGGGACGGCGAAGGGCTGGGGAGAAAAGGCTGTTCCTGGTTAGGGCTCTCACTCAGCTCGATGGCCACATGGACCCGCTGTGGTCTGCGAGCAGGACAGCAGGGTGCAGAGGCCAGTGCTCTGCCCATTCAGTGGGAGGCAGGACCCAGCGGTGCTGGGTGAGACTGAGGGTCCTCGAGAGGAAGCCACAGAACCTACAGAAATAATAGAGAGATGCCAGAGAACAAGTCAAGTGCGGGGCGGAGGCTCCCGCAGAGACTGAGGGCGAGACAGCCAAGTGCACCAGGCGCAGTGTGAGCCTGGGTGGAGAGCTGGGGTCTCCACGACGACAGATGAGTCCTCAGTGGATCCTGTTCAGAGGTCCTGTGACTCCTGCTGACACGTCTGTTCAGTATACAGTTTGCAATGATAGCTACTTTCAGAAAATTTAAGTATTTATGTTTCTTTTAGTTCATGCATGTGGGTCAGAAGTCTCTAAGCTACAGGCAATTCTTACTGACAGTTCCAGAAATCCAGGCAGTGACAGTCACACAAACAATTCCCACAAAGGATGTTTGTATTCTAAGAATCAGGGCAAGAAATCGAAACACCCAACCCTGACTGTCCCTCGCCCCATCAATTTTCATTCTGCCGTTGCTCAGCACAGTTCAGACTAAGCCTCCAGAAATGAGTTTTAAAATGAAAATCAGTATAGCCTTGGCCAGTGTGGCTCAGCGGTTAGAGTGTAGGCCTGCATACTGAAGGGTCTCGGGTTTGATTTCTGGTCAAGGGCATGTATGTCCCTGGGCTGCATGTTTGATCCCCAGCCCCAGTTAGGGTATGTGGGGGAAGCAGCCAATCGATGTGTCTCTTTCACATTGATATTTCCCTCTCTTTTCCTCTTTTCTTCCCTCCCTTCCACTCTCTCTAAAAAAATCAAAAGGATTAATAAACAAATAAATTCAGGTGAGCCCTGGCCGGTTTGGCTCAGTGGTCAGAGTATTGGCCTGCGGACCAGAGTCCCGGGTTTGGTTCCTGCTAAGGGCATGTACCTTGGCTGCAGTTTGTCCCCAGCCCCGGTTGTGGTCGTGTGGGTGGCAGCCACTCGATGTGTCTCTCACATTGATGTTTCTCTCTCTCTCTGCCTCCCTCTCTCCTCCCCGCTCTATCTGAAGATAGATGCAAAAGTGTCCTCAGGTGAGGGTTGAAATAAATAAATAAATAAATAAATAAATAAATTCAGGCGATAAAAACCAGAAATAAAATACAATTTCAACGTTAAACATTTCTCAGCTCTCACCAGGTCTCCTCTCAAATGCAGAACTGATCAGGAGCAGAGCGGTGTTCGTCTCCTCCACAGAAGAGGCCCCATGCCCTCCGTTCGCAGACATGCCGTGATCACCACAGAGCACCAGCAGGCTGGGCGAGACAGCCTCTCTCTCCTGCAAGGCAGAGGGGATGTTCCGGCTGCACTCATACTGAGAGCACGTACTCTTGTTAAGAAAGCAACTTTAGGTTTTAGCTTCATGAACAAGTGCTCTTTCTAAATTAGCTGGTTTTACTTTTTAACTATGAACTTAGATCAAGTTTCATCTATTAAACAAGTAGAATCACACGGAGGTCACAAAGCACAGGAGGCTTGGACTTACGGAGTCAGGCCTCTTGGAACTGAGGTTTGGACCCTCTTCGCCACTTCTGAGCTATGAGAGCGCGGGCCCATCACTCTGTGTGCCTGTGTCCTCATCTGTCAAACGCAGCCACCTTCCTGCCCGTCACTCCAGCCCGTGGCCTCTGCTGCCCTGGATGTGCCTGGCAGGCTCCGCCCGACCCTGGCCCTTGGCCTGAAGATGGCATGTCTGCCCCTCCTTCCTGAGCAGCCTCTGCTCACATCTCATGTAACCACTCCGCCCATGCTGTTGAAAACACAGCCTCAGATGCTGTCTCCTCCTGCCCCAGGTCTCCTGTGGCACATTCCCTTCAAGAACACACATGCACTGTTACTGTGCCTCTCGTTTGCCCTGCCGTCTAGAGCACAGGTCCCACAACACCAACAGTTTCAGCGACACACAGGCCTTGGGAAGCACGAGCTGGAGGAGGGGTGGTGGAAGTAAGACGGGAGATGGAATCGGTGCAGGTGAGCGTCACGGCGGCAACATGTGCTGCTCGTGAGGTTGCCGCGTGACAGCAGGTCCTGAGCTCACGCGGCAGCTTCAGCTCTCCTGGGGAGTGTGGGCACAGGGCCCTCCTAGCCCCATGACGCCTGCAGCGCGGCTCACCTCTGATAGCAGCGAGGTGTGGATCCTCATCAGGACGCTGTCCATTTCGCTGAGCTTGCGCCCGATCAGGGGGCTGTTGGGCCCGGAAATGTGGCCGATGTGGTCCAGCCCCAGGTAGTGAAGAATCAACACATCCCAATCCCTCCTTTTCAATACTCGATCCAAATGCCTCGTCACGTTATCATCCACCTTTAAAGGAGACAAAAGTGCATATGAAGAGTTCTCCTTACTTCTTTTGATCTTCACTCCCCAAGAAAAAATGGTATGGTCATTATAAATTATAGGGGTTTATTTTAGGTAACAGGACCAGTGGGAGTTCGAAAAGACCAAGAAAAATAACAACTGCCACAAAGAATTAAACATCAGCATGAGATCATGCTTTTACCGACAATGACTTTGTCTCCAGGCCACATAATTTTTTTTTTAAACTACATCCTCACCTGAGGACAGTTTTGCATGTATCTTCAGATAGAGCGGGAGTAAGAGAGGGAGGGAGGGAGAGACAAACATAGACACACTGACTGATTGCCACCCACACGACCCCAAAAGAGGCCGGAGACGAACTGCAACGGAGGTACGTGCTCTTAGCTGGAACTGAACCCAGGACTCCCTGGTCTGCGGGCCAATGCTCCAACCGCTGAGGCAAACCAGCCAGGGCCCAGAGCACATAATTTAAACAAGCAAGGTGAGTTCCGAGAACGCCATTCTGAGGGACCACTGCTGGGGCTTCACTGAGTACATGACCAAGTTAAACAGGTGTTCAGTCACGATGAGGTACCTAAGGGCAAAGGGCAGTTAACAAAAACAAGGGAGTACCCAGGGTTCAAGTAACCTGCAGGGCGACTCTGAGGGCATCTATGTGCACCTACTAGTGAGCTGGCAGTCAGTGATCAGCGGTCGAGGGGCCAACAGAGCCAATGCCCAGCCAGCCCCAACCCCTCCGCTGGCCCACCTCCCTCCCACTGAAATGTTTACGGCAAAGAGAAGTGTTTCTGAGCAACTGTACTTGGGATGGGGAAACCCAGCCGCTGCTCATCAGCACTGCAGCAGAGGACACCCGCGTCAGCAGGACTGCCAGTGTTTCCCCGTGCCCAGCAGACAGACAGGTGTGGGAATGCCACGTTCAGACACGTGGTGACACTGCCCTTCTCCCTCTGCACCCAGGCTCAGCTTTCCAACTAGGGCTCTAATCGCGCTCTTTCCCTTGCTGCAGGCTGCACTCCCAGCAGGGATCGATGCCCCTCAGGACCAGGCCCATGTCGCCTGCCCTCTGCCCTCAGGCCTCCCCACTGCAGACACTGCCCCACTCACAGAAGCAGCAACAGCCCCGGGATCCCAGGCAGTTCAAGGAGTCCTCAGGCTCTGCTGTGAACAGATGCTGCCCCTACTCTGTCCTCTTGGTATGTCCCCACTCACCTGTAATACTCAGCTTAAATGGCTCCTTGCTGGGACACCCTTCTGGATGCTTTACACTCACCAGCAGGCGCTCAGACACTCCAGGCCATGGGCTGGAGAGAACCATGCTCACCTGCACCGGGTTCATGGCCCTGGGTGTGACTGGCTCTGTGAGGAACCATGTTTATGTCTCCACACTACTCCCGATACCGTAACAAAGTCACTACAAGCAACACTGCTCTCTATCTGATACACATTTCTTGTTTTAAAAACTGACCTCTGTATAATCTGACACAAAAAATGAAGTTGTTCCATCATATTCCACAAAATGCTTTGGGAATAATTTCACCCATGTTTCGTCTCCATAGAAGATGATTCTCTTCCCGGCTGCTTTGGCCTGTGTGATGACGTTGTCCTCCAGCAGTGTGGGGGAATTGAAGTTTCTGATGATATCAACAAAGCCAGGAAGGCTCCCTGTCATCAATGCCTGCAGGAGGGAACACTTATCAGTTGGATGACAGGATTCAGAGTGTGGTAGGGGAAGGGGTACTGCAGATCACTGCACAGGCGAAAGATGCATAGAAGTAGGGCATTCCCAGTACTGAAGGATGGGTATTAGGAGAAAGGGGAGGGGGAAGCTACACGCAGATTCTGGGCAAAACTAGAATGCTTCATGGTGAACGCCTGACCACATTTCAGCCACGAAGAGGATAGAGGAGGCGGCTGTGAGGCAGCCAGGTACCTGTGGTGCCGAGAAGCTACAGATTTTAAGAACTGAAACAAGTGGCAAAGTATGGTGTGTGCTGAGAACACAAGCCTGCCTATTCAAACCCTCTGTCAGGTTCTCATCTGAGCTTCAAGTCTGCGAAGTCCATTTACTGATTTGCAAACCAGAGATCCTAATGTTCACTCCCGAGTAAAAGAGCAGCTTCTCACACACACAGGGAGGAAAGCAGTCCTTATGCATGAACTCTCCAGAATTCTCACAGTAAACTGGTCCAGGGATGCCGGTGGGCACCTCCCCCCCACCCCCACCATGTCACACCATAAGTTCTGGGAGAGGGTGGGTGTGACAATTCTCAAACCTTATGCTGTCAGAGTAAGTCAACGACCTCCGTCACTTTAGCAGAGTCTAAGAGGCCACAATGATGGGCCACAGTCTCTGTGATCTGAGTTTTTCAACAACCCACGCCACTGGTGTCAAGGGACCTGTGCCAGTGCAATGAAAATAAACAGGAATCTGGATCATGCCAAAGGTATAGTAACTTTGTTGAGACTCCTCTAGCAGCAAACACAGATGTGAATTAACTGGAACGCACGTGAAGAGCTCACCAAATCTTCTCCAAGAGCAACGATGGGACTGTTAAAACAACCATTTCGGTACTTTGAAAACGCACCGAGGATAGATGACCAATCGAGAAGTCCTTATTCAAGACAAACTGCTACATCTCAGTAAGCATCATGGGTGCCTGTGGTGTTTTAAATGGGCTGCCCCTCAACCCCATCTCCATGCTGCGGTAGCCGAGGAGCAGGAGGGGCCCACCGACGTGGAGCTGGGTCCATGGAACAGCGCCACGCGACGGGTGTGCAATCAACACACAGGCCACATCACAGCTGCCTGCGGCTCCGTGACAGCTGTGGTAAGAGACCAGCCCAACATTTAAAAGGGGATCTGAGGAAGAGACAGGTACAGTCGACCTCTATAAACCCCACATATTCCTGGAATCTGGAAAGTTGCGTGCACACTCAGGAGAGACCAGAGGGGCTTCGTCACCGGTTCCTTCTGGTGGAACAGGAGGCTCTGCTCCAAGAGAGAGTCAGGGCAGACTGTATAAACTCCGTGACCATTGAGCGAGTGGCACGTCCCAACAGGACCCTGCTGAGTGTGGAAGCCTCACTGCATAGGTATCTGTGCACAACCTCTGACCAACCACTAGCCTGTGCTGGCCCTGGGGGACTCCTGGAAAGACTAGCCCAAACCTGAAAACAAGAATTAGAAAAATGACCTAGCAGAGACATCGGTTGCTGCACACTTGGGGAGACACTCTCCATAACTAGTTCAGGCAAGTCACTACACACAAACAAAATAACAGGAATCACAGCTACTACTCCTGGGTGCGGATTAGAATCTCTATTAGAGATGAGGGGCACGAATACATACGTGCCCCATCCAACTATACAATGTACAAATGTGTTGGTGGATTGTATGAAAATTCTATCTCAATTGTTCCTTCTTTTTTTTTCTTAAAGACTTTTAAAATTGATTTTCAGAGAGGAAGGGAGAGGACAGAGAGAAACATCGATGTGAGAAATGTGAGAGTGGGCATGTGTCCCCACTGGGAAATAAACCAGTGACCCTCTGGTGTACCAAAACAACACCCAACCAACTGAGCCAAACCAGCCAGGGCTAACGTTATTTCTTAAACTGTGAGCCTCTCTCTTACCCCTAAATTCTACTACCTAAAGATAACCAGTTATTTTTGGTGAGTACCCTTTAATTGTTTTTTTCTGTAGGTGTACAACCACAAATATACAAAGATATATTTATCACCAAAATGATAACAAACTATGTAAATAATTCTACAACTTGCTTTTTTCCAATTAATAACAGATTATGGGTCTCTTTCCCCAGAAAACAAATAGCTACTTCATCTTTTTTTGAACAGAGATAAAATACATACATATCTATCTATCTATACACACACACACAAATATATACTTGAACGTACATTTACTTCCAATGTTTGAATGTACATTTGTTAAACCAAAACTATTTTAATGGATATTTGTTTTTTTTTTCCCTTCAAAAAATTTTTTTTCTTTGTTGATTTTTAGAGAGAGAGGAAAGGAGAGAGAGATAGAAACATCAATGAGAGAGAACATCAAATGGCTGCCTCCTGCATGCCCCCTACGGGGGTTTGGTCCACAACCTGGGCCTGTGCCCTGACTGGGAATCGAACAGGTGACCTCTTGGTGCATGGGTTGATGTTCAACCACTGAGCCACACGGGCCAGGCAATGGATATTTACTTTTAAAAGCTTCCAATGGCCATGGCTTGTTTGCTCAGCGGTTAGAGCGTCGACCTGTGGACCAATGAGTTGTGGGTTTGGTTCCGGTCAAGGGCACATATCTAAGTTGGGTTTATCTCCGGCCCTGGTCTGGGTCATGTGGGAGGCAACCAATGGATGTGTGTCTCTCATGTTGATGTTTCTCTCTCCCTCCCTCCCTCCCACTCTATCTGAAGATAAATACAAAAATATCCTCAGGTGAGGATTAAAAAATAAAATAAAATAAAAAGCTTCCAATGGAAGTACCATTTGAGCTGAGACCTGAAGGTTGAAGTGTTGTCTGGGTGAGATGAGGTGGGGCCTTCCAGGGGGAGACACAGTAAACTGCAAGGGCTCCAAGGCAGAGAGGCAGCATGCCTGGGAACCGAGCTCTCTGTGATCATCAAAGAAGGAAAGTAGCTCCAATTAGAGTGGAAAGGTAAACAGGCAGAAGAACAAGCCTGAGGCCTGGGTTAGTAGGCAGTGTAAGCCACTGTCGGGTATTAAGTCGAGTAGCACGAGCTGGCGACCATACTGGACTGGACAAGGGTGGTGGCTCAGTCCAGTTATAGTCACAGTATTAACACACCTGTTCGCCTTATCTCCTGTAAAGAGTAGGTTATCATCAATCTTTAAATGTTTACAATGGGATAGGCAAAATTTGGCCTTACAGGTTGTTTTAGTTTGCATTACTATGATTGCTAGAAAAGTAAAAAGAATCTTTTCACGTTTACTGGCCACTTCTATTTCTTCCCTTGTAGATTTCTTCAGATCCTTTGTCCAGTTGCCACTGGACTGTTGGGCCTGACTGGACACTCTTTACATATCAGAGGCTTATCATCTTGTTTCTATGTTAACTGTAAATAAGTTTTCCAGTTTATCATTTGTCAGTTAACTTTGTCTATAATGTGTTTTGTTTTATGTACTCGTCTGTCCATCATTCTTCTGGGGCTTATACAAGGTACTTCCTCCTTCTCACAATAGCTCGAGTTCCTACTGATATTTTAAGGAGGGCAGGGACAGTGTGGCATCCACTTCACCCAAGGGAGCATGCAAGCAGCAACTGAGCTGCAGCTGGGGTCCTAGGAAGTGTTAAGTGAGAACTCAGGTGTCATCTCCTGGGAGGTTCCCTGTGGTTGCCATGGCCTTTGGAACAGTAATTTCTCGCCTCTGGAGAGTAAGGAAGGCTCTGAATCACTCTACTCTGCAGCTCTAATGCCACAGGACCAAGAAAGACTTTGGAACCAGGCAGGCTTACGCTCCAGCTCCCAGCTCCCGATGTGTGAATCCGGCACTGCAAGCCTGTTTCCTCATGTGGAAATGGTCCCCAATACAGCTCTACTCTTTTCTTTACCCATAGTTCTTGGGTAAAGCACTGTGTACTTGAAAGCCATGCTCACTAGGCCGAATACCTGCTGGTGGTTCACACAGTAGAAACAGTGAGAACTATGGCGGCCAGTTCATGCTGGACCAGTCACTGGACCAGTGCCAGACAAGTCTGAGTTTCCTTTCTCATCTATGAAGTCAAGAGACTGAACTAGGCAACCCTACAGGCTTTCCAGGGTTGTAACTGACCTAATGACAATTAAAGACAAGAACAGGTTAGCCAGGAGGATGGTACCTCTGAGACTAGGCTGGCCTGGAAAACTGGTTTCACATCCTTCATGTTTCCCAGAAAGCATGAGCTCTGGCTACTTGAAAAGGGGCAGATCATGGTCCCAGCTTCATCCTATCATCAGGCATCTTCAGCATCCTACTGCCCCAGCGAGGCTGACAGCACCAAACTTAGTTAAAATGTGAACAAGTAAGGACTACAGAGAGCCCCTCTAAACCTCCTGAAGAGTCAAACCATGATTTATAAAACATTAAGTTTTACCTTGATTCGAGGCATAGTGACTGTAGGTGGCTTTGCTTCAGCCACAAAACTGTGAGATGCTCCTTTTCCCACAAGGTAAGTTGTGTAGGGCATAAATTTCACACCCTTTGACCCAAACACAAAATCATCTCTCAAGGCATCTATCAGCATAATAACAACTTTACTGAAGAGAGGTGGGGGGAGCTTGGTCCAATTGGAAGTGGCCCCTAAAAGTGTTTGAAGGAAAAAAGAAAATTGAATTTTAAACTTCATTTAGCATTCAGTCACCTATTAACTGGTTTCTACCCACTTCTCTATGTACGAACTCAAAGAAAAATGCCCACAGTGCGGGGGAGGGGGCTGCGGGTTAGCTCAGGGAGCCGGATATTAGGTCATGAGTCGCCTTAGCATGGTGAGGAGTGCTGCGACCTAAAAACACAGCGCTTCGCCGAGCGGAAGGGAGCGCATTTACAAACCGTGTTCACACGGCCAGAGGGTCGCCCTGTGCGGACGCGAGCCGAACGGACGTGGCTCTCCCTGGTGTGTACTGCTGGGTGGGTGAGAACCAGGAGGGGTCCATGCAGGGCGGCCCTCACTACTGGTTAAAAGCGGATCTTGAAGGAATGTAAAAAAATAATAAAAAAAGCGAGGGTCAGCAGGGACCTTTATCTGTGGCGGCTCCTGGGGCAGAGGGTGCGGGGCCGCGCGGCTCACGCCTGCGGGGGAGGGGCGCGCGCGGCAGCGGCCAAAGCTGTCGGACAGACACAGAAAAGGAGAAGGGGCGGTAGGAAGAGGGGTCCCGGGGGTGGGAGCCTGGGAAGAGGCCCGAGAGGAGGGACAAGAAGGACGTTCCTCTGAAAAACCTGGGCCGAGGGAGCGGGACGCCGGGCAGGGGTCCGTACCTGCCGAGGGTTCGGGCGCGGGGGATTCCGCCTGGTGCTCGGTCCCGGAGGAGGAGCGAACGGGAGCGGGGAAGAACCCCCGAAGGAACAGTGCGACCCCGAGGACCTCAACCAGGACGCAGCCTGCGGCGAAGGCTCCGCAGCCCAGCCGCATGGTGTCCCGCGCCGGGCGGGGTCCGGGGTCCCGGCTCCAGGCTCCCGGTCCTCCGCGTCTTGCCGAGCGGCAGGCGCTTCCAGTGCAGGAAAAGCCTCTGCGCAAGTGCAAACTGGCGGACCGCCTGGAGCCCGCCCTGCGGGTGTCACGCCGCCGGCGCGCCGGAAATACGTGCGGAGGGGCGGGCGCTACCGCTGCCGGGCGGCTCTGAGTTCCGAAGCCCCTCACTCGCACTTCCGGCGCATCGCCCAATCCCCACACTGGCCCCGCCCACAGGGGGATTCCCCGCCCGCTCCGCCCACCGAGTCCCGCCGCGCTCTTCCCGTCGTGAGGCCCCGCCCACCCCGCGTTGGAGCCGCTCCTGTGTTGCCGGTGTCGGTCGGTTTCGGGGTTCGAGTGAGGGTCGTGCGAGGAGTGAGGGCGAGGCCGGAAGGGGCGGGAAAGCGAGTGGGGGCGCCCATGGAGAGGCTGCGTGTGCACGGGGTCCGAGCTTCGCGAGGCCCCCGCGCCCCCGGACCCGGTCAGACCGTCACGACTGTGCCCGCCGCGCTCCGCGTCGCCGTGGACGTGGTGCTTCCCAGGAGTGCCCGGTGCCGGGTCTGGGTGCGGAGAACCCAGCCACCGTGCCCTCCCTCCGTCCCGGCTGTCCGCGTTACCCAAGGGGGCACCGCGGGGAAGCCACGGGCACTGCCCGCAGGGGCCACAGAGCCCCACGCGGGGACGTCCACGGCTCCGTGTCACAACGCGGCCCTCAGTCCCACCTCATCTCTCACACCTGCCCCCCCGCGAGATGTCTTGTCTGTTCAGGCCAGGCCCCGCATTCCCGCAGGACACCCTGGCCTGCAGCATCCCACCACGCGCCCCCCGTGTGACACCCCAGGAGCCCACACGACCTTTATGGGACCCTGCATGATTTCTGTATGACCACCGAGTGACTCCCATGTAACACCATTTGCCTCCGCTTGACTCCCATGCGACCCCAGCTGTGGGTGGACCGTGTCTCCAGTGGGCAGTTTCACACTGAGGCTGCATATACTGAAGACCGACTTGTTCACGGACCAGTCCCTGTGGCCTCTGGAAAGCCGGCCACGTGCCCCGTGATATGGAGCAGCAATTTTCAACCTTTTTCATTTCATGGTGCACGTAAACTAATTACTAAAATTCTGTGGCACACCAAAAAGTCTTATATTTTTTGCCAATATAGGTATAATTTTGATTCATTCACATCAGACAGCTATTGTTGTGTTGACTCTCGTCACTTTTATATTTGACAGGGTAAGGGGGAAAAGTTCAGTGCCCCTGACTAAATAGTAAGGTGTTGCATGTTTTAACAATTCATGTAGCACACGTCTTAAAAACCGCTGGTCTGGAGTAATCCCTGAACCTCCCACTACTACACTGAGCAGGAATTTCCTTACCACCTAGCATTTGTCTCTGCTCTTTGTAAAGCTTGACAGAAGACACTGGAAAATGAGCCAATTTGTTCTTTGGAGATGGCTGATTAATGTGGCTGGAGCAGGTGTGACTCCTGAGTTCCCACCTCCCAGAGACACGAATGGGGTCTGTGTGCCTTCCAAGGGCACATGGGCTATTCTGGGCCAGTTTCTGTGATTCGAGGAGCGGATGCCCAAGGCAGGAGCATTGAGTTTCCCACCAACAACAAAACTGCTTTTTCATCAGGTTGAATTGCTCCTTGCCCTTGTGGGCAGAGCAGTGGGCGGAGACCTCAGCCCCTGCCCCCTGTGAACCCCTTCCTTCTGTGGACTGAGATCCCACAGCTGTGCAGTGGGCCATCAGTGATGTGGAATCATCTGTTTTCTCTGACCCAGTGTCTGTTCATGCCCAAGTCCAGCACCTCAGCTTCCCTTTGGGAACTCATCCCACCCCCCTCTCCAAACCCTTCCGAGGGCTGACCCCATGTCTAGACAATCCCACATCCCACCCTCTGGGTTCAAGAATGAGAATGTAAAGCAAGCTAGCTCATGGGCATTTCAGGTTCTGACTTTTTAGGGAATCTAAGGGAAGGAGAGACCCTTCCTGGTAGAACAGATGATGAGTGGGTGTCAGTCTGGAGTTGCTGAAGGCCCTCAGTGAGAGAGACAAGGGGACCGAGTCCCACTGTGAGAGTGTGAGAACCTGGACCTGCCAGGTCCAAATCCACTCTCAAACTTGCAAGTACTAACTTCTTTCTACCATTTAAAAATCACTAATTTGCTTTGCTTCAGTAAGTCTGTCCAGTCCCTTGCAATCAAATGGTCTTAGTCGACATGTCAGAATCAATAATCCCTGAGTATTCCTCTGCCCTGTTTCCTCTCTGGGCGGTCATGGCTGGGAGGGAGGAAGACACGATGGAGCCAGATCTTAGCGAAATTGCCTAACAGCTCTGTCTCTGCTCCTTCCCTGTCCAAGGAGAGGGGAACCTCAGAACAATGAGAGGAGAACCAGCAGGGGGAAGAGGTCCCTGGATGGGTAATTTATCTGTATTTTATTTCTTTTGTGAACATTTATTTTTAATAAGAGATGACCCATTTTCTCTAGATTCCCAGTTTTATGCAATAGGTTTATCTTGAGTTTTAATTTCTCCTCTCCAGAATTGTTACAATAATGAATAAATATTGATACATTATTATTAACTAAAGTCTATATTTTATTCCGTTTTCCACATTCAAGGCTCAGTCTCAGTGCTGGCACCTCTATCTGTTAAGACCCTCACTTCCAACCAGAGAGGTTAATGCTGACAGCTGGGGATCGAATTGGGGTGGCATTAAAGGAAATAAGGCCAGGAGAAGAAATGAGCCTGGCCCTGGCCGGTTTGGCTCAGCGGCTGGAGTGTCGGCCTGTGGTACAGAGAAATGAGCCTGATAAAAAGTCCTGATACTGCTGATGGTGGAGAGACTTTGTTTTCTAGGCAGGGGGAAGCTGTTGGTAGTTCTTACACGGGAAGTGGTAGGATTAGGTCCCTGATTTAGAAAGATCAAGTTGGTCGCAGGGTGAGCTTGGACTGGATGACAGAGGACAGGAAGCAGAGAGCAGTGAGAGACAGATGAGAGGTGATGCTGGCCTGAGCGGAGGCAGGACCACGAGTTTGCAGAGGAGCAGGGATGTGAAGACCAGAGAGAGGCCATGGGTAATACTGTCCTGAGGATGAAGCCAGCACAGATGTGAGTTAGTTCCTGGGGGACTTTGGCTATTTGGAAACTAACAAGAGCTCATTCATCTAAAAGGAGACTATTTGCTGAACTCTGTTTATCTGGCCCATAGAAGACAAGAAGGACAAAGATGAGAAGAGTTAGGGAGCGTGAGTGCTGGTCACAGGTTAGGCAGGAGCTAAGACGCACCCTTGCACTGAACCCTCACTGCCACCCTGAGAGAGCAGCCATCCCCATCTGACAGGTGGGGGACAGTCCATTTTTTGCTTGAATTCATAAGTGATGGGGTCAGAAGTCAGCTCTGTGCCTGCCTAGGGCTCTGGCACCCCCCCATAAGGAAACTACCTCCCCAGACTCCCCTTTGAGCCGCCAGGGAGCTCTCATCAGGGGAGACCTCGGAGGAAGGGGACATGCATGGAACATGCAGACAGGTTCTCTGGACAGGAGAGAGATTTTAAAAGGCTGGGATATGGGCAGGGTGTAAAAGTGGGGAAAGTCATCATGACAGGGATCTGGTATTAATGGTGCTCCTGTGAAGGGCAAGGCCACCACCTCCATCACCATCTGTCACCATGACCAGTGCCTGCTCACGCTCCATCCAGAAAACCAGCTTTAGTGCTGCATGGCAAGCTGCAAATTTGGTTATGTGCTCGTTTCCTTCAAATAGAATGAACAAGAGTCAACTGAAAAACTACTTGAGTTACTCTGTTTGTCCAGGATATTGTGTGTACATGATCTTCTGGCCAGTCTTGGCCCATAGTGGACTCAGTTCTGGACTTGGCACTGTGTAAGAAAGAGTCTTTAGTTTAAATACTTGTCAAGTGGAGATAACAATTGTCCCTGTGTCATCTGGCAAATAGGAGCAGTAAGTGAAATAATGCAAAAAAAACACAGGAATTATCTCAAAGTGAGCTTAATAGCAGGGGTAAAAACTCTTTTAATGCAGAGTGGGCAGAACCCATAAGGCCTTTGCTGCCATCTGGTGTCCATTTTGAAAATAATACCTGAGTGGAGGTAACAAGAAAAAGCCCCTTCTGCTGCCATCTCCTGTGCTCATTGGAAATAACACTTGAGTGGAGATCATCAGGAAAAGCTTTTCTCTGTTGCCATCTCGTGTTCAATTTAGGAGTAACAACTGGGTGAAGGTCACCAGAAAATCACCACTCCGCTGTCATCCAGTGTGCATTTCTAAACGACACTTCGGTGGCACTCGCTAGGAGAAGCTCTTCTCTGCTGCCATCTACAGTGCAAATTGTGAGTAACATCTGAGGGGAAGTCGCCAGGAAACCCACTTCTCTACTGTTACCTAGTGTGCACCTTGGGAATAACACCTGGATGTGGCTCTCCAGGAAGAGCTCTCCTATGCTGCCATATACTGTGCAAACTGGGAATAACATGTGATTGGAGATCACCATAAAATGCACCACCCTGCTGCCATCGAGTGTGCAACCAGTGAATAACACTGAGTGTAAGTCAACATGAAACCGTATTCTCTGCTGCCATCTAGTGTTCATTTTGGGAACAACACCTTAGTGGAGGTCACCAGGAAAAGCCTTTTTCTGCTGCCATCTATTGTGCAACTAGTGAATAGCACCCGATTGTATGTCAAAATGTTACTCTTTGCTTCCAACTGTTGTGCATCTTGGGACTAAAGCCTTAGAATTGTCAAGAAAATCTCTTCTCTGCTGCCATCTTGTATGTATCCGGAAAATTACACCTAGTGGAGTGCACCAGGACAAGCTCTTCTCTGCTGCATGCTAGTGTGCCTCCTGGGAATGATATCTGAGTGCAAGCCATGGTTGGGATTCTGTGATTCCTTCCCTATACGTTACGCACACTAGGTACCAAGCACAGTAATATTTTAGAATGAAAAATTAACTTCTAA